CGGAAATGAAAGCTGGGCTTGTTTTTCTCAGACTAGCTGTCACTCTGATAATTTCAGTGGGGATATATGAAGCATTTATTAACACCTACAATTTCTGAACAATGACAATGAAATTGAAACTTACAAATATCTTTAAAATTCAGTCAAGAAGTAGAAGAGGACTTAGGAATAGAAACAGAGATGGAATAGACTTTGTTGTTTTTTAAAAATACTTAGTGTGATAGTTAAGGCTGTGACCAGCTTGGCTGAGCCTGGTTTTGAGTGGCTGGGCAGCTGGATGTAGTTATTCTCCATGAGAATAACTGAGATTGTAATCACCATGGTGGAATCTGCTATGAGCAGCTAATGTAGCTCTTCAGTACATATTAAGAAACTTTGGGAAAGGTCTCTAGCTCTTTGGCACATGGTAGATCCTGCATTTGGCCAAGTCTTCATCTCTAGATCCTGGACTTGAGCCAGTAGCCTGCCATGTTCCCTGTCCGTCTTGGGCTTGTTCCTGGACTTGAACCGGTGGCCTGCCATGTTTGCCTAACAATCTTGAGATTGTGCCATTTTACTTGCTGACTTTGGGTGTGTCAGCCTCAGCAGCCAGCAGCTGTGAGTTAGGAGATGCCTCTAGCTCCAGTGGGCCTGGAATAAGAGGCAGAGCTGAAGCCCAATGTCAAGGAGCCTTTGCCCAGCTCATAGACCTAGCACTATGAATGTGGACTTCTCACCTCTTAAACTGTTAGGGAATAAATTCCTGTTTGTTAAACCAGCCGCTTGTGGCATTTCTGCTATAGCAGCACTAGAGAATTGAGAGAACTAGTTAAGCAAAACTATTGTTTGGTTTTAACAAGATTTTAAGGGGTATTTTTGGTTTAAGGTTTAAAGTTTATCTCAGGACAATAGTTTTGGGGGTTCATCCAGCCTCCATGGGTTCAGAAAGTCGATTCCATGTGAATTTGAAATTCTGTTTTGTATTTTCTCTCTTTTAATCGGGATTCTTCTGTAGAGTCTTTCATGAAAGCATTCATTGATGGTTGTGGGGCACCATCTAGTTCTTCTGGTCTCACGGCAAAGGAGGCAATTGTTCGTGGAGGCATTTAGCCACACATACCATATTCTCCTCCTATTTCTGACGCTCCACCTTCCTCCATTTCTGCAGGAGAGTAGAGACCATTTCTTGTACTTTTAAGATCCCAGGAGCTATGCAGTAAACTAGGAGATAAAACAGAAGCACTAAACACAGTATTAGGTCAATTAGCTGGGATGTCCCATGAAACCATGACCTTAAAACTCCAAACTAAGGAACCAAATCCCACGAGGTATTTGATTGTACGTAAGCTGTTTCCGCAGCTGCTTTGTTGTTGTTGTAAATGTATCTGTCACACAGGGAGTAGACTTTGAAAGCATATTTCTTTTTTTTTTTTTTAATTGTGATTTGGGTGAAGATTTACAGAGCAAATTCACTTTCCATACAGCAGTTCACATACACTTTGCCTCATACCACAGTTTGCCACAATGCAACAGCTCCTCCCACTTCCTCCCCATAGTTACCTCTTCCCTGTATCTGTCCCTCCATGCCCTCCTGCCCCCTGAGCTGTCTCCCGGTGCATAAGCAGCCCTTCTTTCTCCCATGATTATTCTCTCCAAGGAGTGTAGCTACCTTAGGTAAATGTTCAACTCATATGCCTGTCTTTTTAAAGTATATTTCTTAAGATAGTGAAAGAAAAGCCATGAACTGGGAGAAAATATTTGCAAAACATATCTGATAAAGGACTTGTATCCAGGATATATAAAGAAATCTTAAAACTCAACAACAAGAAAACAAACAATCTAATTTTTTAAAACAGGCAAAATATCTAAATAGACACCTCATCAAAGATGATACACTAATGGAAAATAAACATTGGAAAAGATACTCAGCATCGTATGTTATCATGTGGGTTTGAACTGCCAGCCTTCTGGTTAGCAGTCAAATGCCTTAGGCACTATGCCACCAGAGCTCCTTATATGTTATTTGTTGTTGTTGTTGTTGTTGTTATTTGCC